GGTTACTCAGGCTTCTTCCCAACAAAGCCACAAATGTTGTAGCAAGACAGGGTATCATTGGAGAAAAACAGAAACCATCTTTGCCCTTATGCTCTTTTTATTGTTGAGGAAAATATTTCTTCATAATTTAATTTTTATTGTGCTAAAATAAACATAACAATATTTATCACTGTAACCATTCATGAGTGTGCTGTTCTATGGCATTAAGTACTTCCATGGTAACCATCTGTACATGAAACTTTAATTATTCTTATAAAACTTCTGTGTCCATTAAACAATAATTTCCCCTCTCATCCCTCCTACCAGCTTGCCCTAACTTCTGTTCTCATTTCTGTCTCCGAATTTGCCTATTCTAATTACCTCCTGTAAATGGAGCCATATAATGTTTGTCCTTGTGTGTCTGATTTATATTACTAATAATAATGTTTTCAAAGTCCATCCACGTTATAGTGCACATTAAAATTTCATTCCTAATGGCTGAATAATATTCTATTGTATACATGGACAACATTTTGTTTACCATGCATTTATTGGTGGACCCTTGAGTTGTTCCACTTTTTGGCAATCTTAAATAATATTGGGTAAGTTTACGTCTCTCTTGTGACCTGTTCCGGGTTGGCCAGATGTGTCAACCAGGTTTTACTTACAGGCAGCAGATAATCAGAGATTAAGACCTCATTCTGAGGCTTAGCAGCGCTCTGTACTGGTCTGGCCATGGGAAAGTCTCGTCCTTTTCTGGACCTCTCCAAAGTTCCTGCAAAAGAGAGGTGATTAAAATCACTTCTTGGGGCTGTTGTGGAACTCAAATGAGAAAATGTGTGAGAATGGCTATTCCTGTCACCTCTAAACTCCAGCTCTGTATATTAACATCCCTTCCTTGGCATTCCTGTTTTGAAGGGACAGCAAGCATCTCCCACTTACCATACCTGAGTCTGAGCTCTCCTATGCCACTTCAAACCACCTCCTTCTCCATTCGCCCCAAATCAGCCAATGGCATCTCCATCCCTGGTGTCCTCCTCAACTCCACCCCTTGTCCCCAATATCAAGTCTATTAACAAGTACTGTCACTCTCTTTTTGAAATACATCCAGAATCTGACCATCCCCCTCCCCTTTACTCTCTTGGTTCAGGCCACCATACTCCCTTCCCTAGATTATTGCATGGCCTCCTATACAGCTTTCCACACTTGGTCCCCCATTCATTATTCCAGTCGCTTAATCTTTTGCAACTCTCCTACCAATTTAACTGCTCCAGCCCCAGCTCTCCTGCTGTTCCACCGAATATCTTCAGGGCCTTTGTATTTGTGGTTTCCCCTGTCTTACTTAGCCACATGACTAACTTTTCACTTCCTGAAAGGGGAAAAAAAAAAAAAACAAGGGAGAGAATTAAACAACAGCAGATGGGGTAGAGAGGGAAGATGAGAGGGAAGGGGAGGGGGGATAGTAGGGGATAGGAAAGGTAGCAGAATACAACAGTCATTAATATGGTATTATGTAAAAATGTGGATGTGTAACCGATGTGATGCTGCAACTTGTATTTGGGGTAAAAAATGGGAGTTCATAACCCACTTGAATCAAATGTATGGAAGATGATATGTCATGAGCTTTGTAATGTTTTGAACAACCAATAAAAAAAAAACAGAGTGTCTGTGAGGCCTTCCCTCGATGTCCTATTTCAAATTACAGTACCTGCCCTTGATATATCATATTCTCCTTTTCTACTTTCTCTTCTTAGTACTTACTATGAATATGCTCTTGGTCTTGTTTATTTGTAATGTTTATTGTGTCTTTCCTATTGGAATGTCAGATTAACAGCTCTCTACCAGAACACCCCTGCTCCATAAGGGGAAAGATTCTTGTTTTGAGTTCACTTGGTACCTCAGTGGTAGGGCAGAGCCTGGCACATGGTGACCACTTAATAAATTTGTTAGTACAGCATTTTATGGAAGAGAAATCTGAGGCTCAGCACAATTAAATAATCCGCTCAAGGTCACACAGCTAGGAAGTGGCCTAAATGGGTAGTTAAATGTCCTTCCATGCTTTACAACATTAAAAAAAAAAAAAATGCGCAGGATTCGGTGCTGGAAGACTTTGTGGAATCTGGCAAAGGCATACAGATTTGAGTGTTATTGAGCAAGGAAACTGAGGAGTCACCCTAGGGCTTGTTCAGAGGCACAGAGGCTGTGACCATGATTAAATAGAGACCAGCTGCTGGAGAATCTTGGTGTATGGGAGGAAGGGCTACTCGGCTACATGGGAAAGATTTGCAGAGTCTGTTGGAAATGGTCAGGGAGAAGTTATAAACTGTTTTCTCTGGAAGACCCATCACACTGGTTGGTGTCCTACTCAGACTCACCTGCCTCTAAACATTCCTTCTTCCTTCCATTCTCCTGAACCTACAGGAGTAATCTCAGCCAACTACTAGGAAGAACAATTGGAGAACAGTTCTGTAATTTGACCGGATGCAGCTTTGTTGGAAGGAAGACAGTGCTTTTTTGTTCTTTCTGTTTTGTTTTGTTTTTTAAGAACATCTTTTTTAGGGAAGTGGTTATGTAGCAGTTGAAGCCCATGATTTTTTTTTTTTTTCCCTCTTACACTTAAGAAGCCAGGCTCTCTCCCTCCACTGGGACCCAGTGGAGTTGAGCTTCTAGAACCAGAGCCAAGGCCTGCAGGTGGCTCCTTAAATATTTCAGGGGGAGAAGGCAGGGGCAGGGCCTGAGTCCTATGGGGCCAGCTGCAGTCAGACAGAGAAGGCCTGGGGCAGGGCGGGGAGCCAGGGGAGGCCTGGCCTCTCACTGGGGAAGCTTTGGTACCTCCCCAAGCTTCAGGGTCTTGATGGCTGGAGGGTGTCTGTCTCCAGTTTGCTATGAGGATTCAGTGAGAGGGCCCATGACACTCTTGGCCCACTGCCCCACACAGAGCAAGCCCTCAGGGCATGTGCTTTCTTTTGCCTTCTTCTCAAGGTGAGAATAGGACCAGGAAGAGGCTCCTTTAAAAGCTCTGGGTTGTAACCAAGAGAGTGGAGGGAGAGGAAGAAGCTGCTGGGGTAGCAAAATGCCTTCTGTTGGCTGCACTCAGCTGCTCTCTCTCCTCCCCAGAGGTATAAAGGAGGAGGAGCAGCACTCCCTGGCTCTGGTACCTTTTCCGTGTTCCCTTCAGACCCCTGCCTTTTCACCTGCTGGCGCCCAGTTCCCAGGCTCTTGGCCAGTGTGGGGTCTCATGCCCGCCCCCTGCTCCCATCCATGCCCACTGCAGCTCATGTGCCCACCTGCCTCTGCAGTCCTCTCTGGAAATCGCCCTTGCCCAAGAGCTCTCCCACCCAGGGCCACCCGGAGGCCAATGATTGAATGCTGTGGGGACATCTTCATTTTGACACAACTCCCTAGGTGACCCATCCCAGAGTGCCCCATCAGATCCTCAGAAACTCATCGTGAGCGAGCTTCTCCCTGAGCCCCATGCTGCTCTGCCCCCTTCTTTACAGATATGCCTGAAGAGTGCTCCCAAAAACCTTCTGTGTGTGGCTCCAGGGAGCCCACTCTAGGACAAGTTGTTTTGTTGTCTTGGCTCCTCTAACTATAGCTCACCCCTCTGACTTCCTGGGTGCCCACTTGCCACTAAAATGCAGCCATCCTATATCCTAAGTGATTGAAAAATGGGTGCTAATGAATTAATATGTTGCCCAATAAGCATAATTATCATGGGAACCAACACCCAGGTACAGCTAGCAATCTCCAAAGCACAGGTACGGATGTCATTTCATTTGCCAGAATGGCATGATCGTCTCTGTTATGATTCTGCCTGGACTTGAATTTTAGTTCTACTGTCATTAGTCTTGTGACTTAAAGCCAGGTGTATAAGCTTTCTCTTTCTCAGTTGCCTCATCTGTAAAATGAGAATGACGATGATCCCTTCCTCAAAGAGTTTTTATTGCAATTGAATGAATCAATAGTATATAAAGGAATCAGAATAGCTCTGCCACGTAGTAGGTTCTTAGTAATTGTTTGCTAGATACTCAGGCCAAAAATCTAAAGAGCAAAGGTTTGCTTTTCTTTTTCTTTTTCTTTTTTGTTGGTGCTGGGGATTGAACCCAGGGCCTTAAGCATGTGAGGCAAGAACTCTACCAAATGAGCTATATCCCCAGCCCAAGGTTTGCTTTTTTTTTTTTTTTTTTTTGTGGTGGGGGCGGGTACTGGGGACTGAACTCAGGGGGGGCACTCGACCATTGAGCCACATCCCAGCCCGATTTTGTATTTTATTCAGAGACAGGGTCTCACTGAGTTGCTTAGCACCTCACTTTTGCTGAGGCTGGCTTTGAACTCGCGATCCTCCTGCCTCATCCACTGGGATTACAGACATGTGCCACTGCAACCAGCCCAAGGTTTGCTTTTAATGATTACTTTCTATGTGACCACACCTGTGTCTACACTCATTGTTTATTTTTTATGCTAGTTTGGAATGTAATCTCTGATGGAGAGAGAACATTTTTTTAAGTGCAAATTTATCTACCTTTTTACCAAACGTAGTACAGAATCATGCACCTAAAATTATTCAAGAAATACTAAGTGTCTTGAAATTATTCAAGAAAACCCGACTATCAGGTTGATTGACTGATGAAAGAAATCTCTAGGAGCTGTCTCAAACTGGTGGCTTGTAGGATTACTGGACCTCCAAGATACACGGTCTGGCAAGTACAATGTTTCAATGTTTTACTCAACATTGAAATTCTTCAGAAGTACACTACAAGACTGACCATTTGCTATAGTATTCTACATGTCTCAAAACTCTGTTACCTGCCTAGCCTTTGTGTGTATTTGGGTTTGTGACCTTGCACAGAGGGTGACACACAACAAGGCTTTCCTTATACAGAAAGAACTGAAGGTGCTGACTGGCAGAGGTCCTTTGTGGTTGTTTTCTTCGCCCCCACTAGGAATTTTTTCAGCCTATTCCCATCTCCGTCAACCTCCTTGGGTGCCTAATAATAACTTGGTGTCCTCCCTCATAGGTACTATAAGATCACCGTGGTGCTCATGTGCTTTGTGTTCCCCACGGTGGTGCCCTGGTACATCTGGGGAGAGAGTCTGTGGAATTCCTATTTCTTGGCTGCCATCCTCCGTTACACCATCTCCCTCAATGGCACCTGGCTGGTCAACAGTGCTGCCCACATGTATGGAAACCGGCCCTATGACAAGCATGTCAGCCCTCGACAGAACCCACTTGTCACTCTGGGCGCCATTGGTGAGTAGGGGAATTGAAAGTCCACAGGGAGAATGACATTTCAGTGCTTTTATGGGATCTGTAAAGAGAAGGAGTGGAGTGGAGTGAACTTGAGCTTTGACCTTAGAATCCCGGCTCTTGCAAACTCATGTGATTTCTCTGATTTATAGGAATACATAAATTGCTTGGTGCAGTGCCTGCTACATAATAGGTGATCAATAAATAGTAGTTATTTATTTTTACTACAGAAGTTTTCCTAAAGAAGAAGCAGCAGTTGACTTTTCTCTCAAACTTCCCTGGCCACTCTAGCCTTGACTGTCCAATCATGTGGCAGGAAAAAAGGGCTTCAAACAGAGAGATGGGAAGAAAGGAGACACAGACTCTCCAGGGACGACAAAATGCTTAAGAGCTAGGCTAATGGAGTCATGTGAGTTTGGTCAAGTCCTGGATCCTCCACTTATTCTCTGGGCAAGTGATCTGGCTCCCCTACATTTAATGTCCTTATCTGTAAAGTAAGGATAATAGTAGGTATCCCTTACCTCCTCCTGGGTTCATTGGAGAGTCAGATGTGTTAATAATACCTAGTGTTTAGAATGGTGCTTAGCAGCTTAGCATGAAATCAGCCTTCTGTGCTGTGGCTTTTATTGTTAGCCTTATGAGCTTAGGTGCGTTACTTGTCCTGTACATCTGCATTTTAAAATGGGGATGCTCATAACAGTTAGCTCAGAGGTGTGAGGATATTAGGAGTTGATACCTGGTAAGACACACGAGGCCCTGTGCCTGGCACACAGTAAGTGATTCATAAATATTAACTACTTCTTTACAGAAGCAACTCAGACTCCTTGGTAAGCTGTGTCCTGAACACAGAGATCAACCCAGGAAGGGAGATTCCTGCTGCTAGGCAGGAACCGTCTCTGTGACACTCAGGGATGAGTTTCTGCCACTATTTCATTCTATTAGTCATCTATTTGTGAAGACCTCAGGGATCCTAAAGATTTTGTCAACTTGTGCTAGAAGCTGGATGAGAAGGTAGAAATGGGTCTTGGAATTAAAAGAGGAAGTGTTTCCTGCCCCTCCCCCCCCATGGCCTTCTTTTTCTCTCACCCCTTATCTTCTGAGGACCACAATGAGGGGCGCCACATCCAGAAGTGGGGATAAGACGAACCATAACATCTTATATAGGGATAGATGGGCCGGGAACCTGAAGAGCTGGACATTGGTGTTAAGTCTGTCCAGGCCAATGCTGGACACCCGGGAGGTTTGCTTTATAAAGGTCCTTGGAAGGCTTGTGTTGCATTTAATTGTCCAGCAGAGCCGGGAGTGTATACGTAGTGCCTGTCTGAAAACAGGAAGAAACTCCTCAGTACTGTACTCCACGGAAAACACCCAAAATGATGCAAGTGAAGGCAGAGAAGGAAAGAGCTAAAGTAAAAAAGAAAACTGCAGACCACAGATGAATCCATGTGATGGACTGATTGTAAAGTGGAGTCCCTTCTTCCAGTATGATCAGAGGAAAACCAGTACCCACTCCAGAAGTAAGGGGAGAGTCTGTTTTCAGTCCTCAAACAGCTGAAAACAGCACCTGGCGACTCCACTCCCCGATTTTATACCCAAGAGAAATGAAAACATGTGCCTGCACAAAAATTTGTATATGAATGCTGACAATATTATTTATGGTAGCTAAAAAGTGGAGAGGAACCCAAATGTCCACCAGCTGACGAACAGATAAATGCAATGCAGCGTATCCATACACTGAAATACTACTCAGCAATGAGATCATGTTAAGAACATGCTAAGTGAAAGAAGCCAGTCACAAAGGACTACATGTTGTATGACTTCATTTACATAAAATGTCCAGTACAGACAAATTATGCAGACAGAAAGTAAGTTGGGAGGGATTGGGAAGAGGTTGAGGAGACGGCAAGGAAGTGTAGGCATATCTCTGGGAGTAATAAAAATGTTATAAAATTCACTGTGGTGATGGATGCACACCTCTGTGAATATACCAAAAGCCTTCCAATGGGATAGTTTTAAAGGGTGAATTGTATGGTATGTTAACTATATCTTAATAAAGTCATTTTATAAAATTAAGGTAATTTTATAAAATTCATTAATCATCAGAGAAGTGCAAATATAAATCAGAATGAAATATCACTTCCACTGTTAGAATGACTATTAGCAATAAGACAAAAGATCACCAGCACTGGGGAAGATATGGAGAAGAGGAAACCCTTGCCCACTGTTGGCGGGACTGTAAGTTAGTGCAGCCATTATAGAAAACAGTATGGAGGCTCCTCAAAAAATTGAAAATCAAACTCCCATCTGATCTGACTCAGGAATCCCACAGCTTGGTATATATCCAAACGAAATGAAATGACAATGTTGAAAGAGAGATTTCTGTACTGATTGAAACATTGTTCACAATAGCCAAGATATAAAATCAACCTCAGTGTTCATCCATGGGTGAATGAATAAAGAACATGCATTATGTAAATGTGGAATATATCCACAATGGAATATTCTTTAGTCTCAGAAAAGGAAATCCTGTCATGTGTGACAGTCTGGATGACCCTGGAGGACAGTGTGCTAAGCAATCAAAGCCAGGCACAGAAAGACAAATACTGCATGTTCTCAAATGTGGAATCTAAAAAAGTTGAACTCATAGAAGTAGAGTCAATGACCAGGGTGGGGTGACAGGGAGGCTGGAAGTATTGGTTAAAATATACAAAATTCCAGTTAGATGCAAGAAATAATTGATCTATTGTACAATATGATGACCATAGTTAATGATAATATATTGTGTCTTAAAAATTGCTGAAAATAGGGCTGGGATTGTAGCTCAGCGGTAGAGCGATCGTCTAGCACGTCATGCAAGGCCCTGGGTTCGATCCTTAGCACCATATAAAAAAAATAATAAAACAAAAGTATAAAAAAATTGCTGAAAATACATTTTAAGTGTTCTTACCATAAAAAATAAGTATGAGAGGTGACATGTTAATTAGCTCAATTTAGTGATTCCACAGTAAATATACATATTTCAAAACATGTTTGTATGATACATACATATTTTGTCAATTTAAAAAACAAACAAAAGAAACACACAAAAAAAATCAATTTGGAGAAGCCCTCATACCTTTCATGAACATATTTTTGAAAAAATGGTAAGGGAGGAGAGCAACTCATTGGGAGAGGGAAAATAATATATGGATAGGTTTGAGATTTTTTTTTTTCTTTTTGGTACCAGGATTTGAACCCAGGGACACTTAACCACTGAGCAACCTCCCCACCCCATTTTATTTTTTATTTTGAGACAGGATCTCACGGAGTTGCTTAAGGCCTTGCTAAGTTGCTGAGTCTGGTTTTGAACTTGCAATCCTCCTGCCTCAGTCTCCAGAGATTACAGGCATGTGCCACCACCCAGCTGATTTTGGATATTTAAAGATCTAACTCCTTAATTTACTTATCTGAATGATTCTGATTCCCCTCCTCCAGGCTCTCCCAAGAAGTCTTGCTGTCATCACTCCAGTCCACAGAGACTCTTTTTCTTTTATAAACATGTCAAAATGATGATCTGTTATCAGCCACTTAGCATTTAGCTTGAGAAGTCCATCTTGAAGTCTTTACTATCATTTCCGCAATTCACACAGGAAATTAATCCTGTGATTTTATGCTGATAACTAATGGCATTATTTTTCTGTCCACACTGAATCTAACCAACTGAGAAAATGTTCTTGAGGGTTGAAACCAAGTCTTTTGCTCCCCACAGAGCCTGACATAATGTCTTATACATGATAGACACTCAAAAAAATGGGTGATAGCCTGGCACAGTGGCATATCTTGTCATCCTGGTGACTTAGGAGGCTAAGGCAGGAGGACTGCAAGTTCAAGGCCAGCCTCAACAGTTTAGCAAGACCCTCAGCAACTTAGGAAGACCCTATCTGAAAAAAAAAAAAACAAGAAATAAAAATAAGAAATTAAAGGACTGGATAGCTATGTCAGACGTAAAGCACCGTTGGGCTCAATCTTTAGTACCACCCTCACAAAAATAGGGGATATAAAAATCTATGCAAGTAGGTGCCCATAACTGAGGAGTTGTGTATATACACAAGTGTGGTATTATATACAATGGAGTTTTACTCAGTTATAAAGAATGAAATATATCATTTGCTGGGGATGTGGCTCAGTGGCAGAGAGCTTGCCTGGCATTCCTGAGGCCCTGGGTTTGATTCCTAGCACTGCAAAAAAGAAAAAGAAAAGAAATTATGTTAGTCACTGGTTAGTGGATAGAACTGGAGAACATTGTGCTAAATGAAATAAGCCAGACCCAGAAAGTCAAGGGTTGAATATTTTCTCTCAGATGCAGAAGCTAGAGAGAGAATTTTTTAAAAAAGGGGATCTCATGAAATAAGGGAAGGAGATGGAGAGGGAGGGAGAAGGGGAAGACATGGGGGAAATACTGGGTAATATAATCTACCCAATTATGCTATGTCCTTGTTTGAATATCCACAATCAATCCCACTGATATAATTATAATGTATTAATTAAATACACTAAATAATAATAATAATAATAGAATCAGTAAAATAGTCAAACAGATCAGGGGGAGAAAGAAAATGAAGGAAAGGAAAGGTCCTGGGGAATGAGATTGATTAAATTTTGTCATGTGCATGTACAAATATGCCACTATTAGTGTATACACTATTGGGGTATCGGTAATACACCACCAACAGAGAAATCAGTACAGAGAGGAGGTGGTAGAGTTATGTCAAAGGCTCTCTTTGTCTTCCAGGTGAAGGTTTCCACAATTACCATCACACCTTTCCCTTTGATTACTCTGCGAGTGAATTTGGCTTAAATTTCAACCCGACCACCTGGTTCATTGACTTCATGTGCTTGCTGGGGTTGGCCACTGACCGCAAACGGGCCACCAAGGCCATGATCGAGGCTCGCAAAGCCAAGACTGGAGATGGCAGCGGCTGAATCTGGAACAGCGTCCCCACCTCTGCCTCGGCTCACGGCTCTTATCACTGCGGTTCCCTTGTTCGTGGGTCGTAGGAGGGGGTGGAGGATGGGGAAGGAATGGGATCTATGTGATGTGGGAATTTCTTGTTTTCTCAAAATGATGTCAACTCTAACTATTGATAAAAAAAAATTTTAGTCAATATTAGGATCATGATTTAACATTAGAATGTGAACATGTGATTTCTTCGCTGTAGCTACAATGTGTCATATATACATTGTTGTGTGCTTGTACATGATGTTAACCCTGGCAGGATAGATATTTAACTCTTTCAGTGTGATCCGAGAGAGTATTTGTTTTATTTTCTACCAATTAACCCAGTATTGCTTTTAAACATACCATCTAAAGGAGCAGAGAGGTGGGGTAGAAGACAAAAGAGGGGGTCTTCACAGTAACAGAAGAGTGTTCCTGTTTTGTAATTACTGTGTCTGTGTGCTTTTTATTTTTGTTTTTTGGATTGTTAATGTAAGAGATTCAAAAACTTTAAAAAATGAGGATAATGGAAATGACTCTTTTTCCCACTGTTTACAGCTAGCTAATGCTCCACTGCCTTTATTTAAATGAGATCGGTTCACTACCAAGCTAGTTTTGTGCTCTAGCCATATGCTCAGCCCAACCTATAAATCAATGCCTGCTTAGATGTTTGATTTTGTTCTCTTTGCTATTGTCATTTTAAAGGTGTATAACTCACACACGCCAGACATCAAATTAAGCTCAAAGGAAGCTCTCATTTAAATGTTTAGACACCTAATTTGTATTCTAATTGATCCTAGCCACTGATGCATGTACTTTAGCTACTCCTGCTAAATAAGTGGTATTAATTTTTCACACCAGGCCATCAGATCTTAATAACTGAAAGTTGTCTAGAACTCTTTGTCTATTAACGTTTCATCTGCATGCTCTGTCATTGATTTCGCAGCAAAATATAAAGTGATCATTATGTAGTTTCTGGACTAAAGCAATTTTTGTATGTTCAGTTATCTTGTAAAGAGCATGTCAGATTAATGGAAAACGTGCCCTTTGTGTTAGATGTGTGTATACAAAGGAAGGCTCTATAGCAATGTTGTTATAAGAGTACTTTGAAGATAGATATTTTCAAGAACAATGTACGACTTAAGATGTAAGTTTTAGAAAGAGAAATGATGCCAATCAGAAATTATCATAATGAGGTTCTTTATCCAGCAGGTGTTTGACTGTGTTATTTTGCCATTAATAATGTGTAAACTACAAGTGATTTACAATAAATAGTTATGAATTCATTGGTATTGTCATCCAGATGCTTACATGTTTTTTTGTTGTTGTTGTTGTTTTTGTTTTTTTTGGTGGTGCGAGGGATTGAACCTAGGGCCTTGTGCATGCAAGGAAAGCACTCTACCAACTGAGCTATATCCCTAGCCTCCAATGTTCTAGAGAGAAAGTTATTTTGAAAGCACTTGATGCTTCTTGAAGACCACATTTGACTTGGGCTCTGGACACCAACAACCCTGAGACCAGATCTCTCTCATTCCACCTGCCTAAGGTCAGAGGGAAAGCCAGCTAGTTCTGTGCGGAATACAAAACCCCCAGTGTTATTGTTCCCCATTTCTCATATACCAACACTCTCACTTCTCTGCTTCTAGCTGATAAATAGGAACCTCTACTCCTACATGTCACCTAGAAGAGCATGAAGGACCTCCTTCTTCTCCACGCTCCATCAGTCGTGATCAGAGGTGGATGAGATGGGCTCATACTCCCACTCCAGTCCTGAGTCTCTCAGTTTTGCCTCTGTTCCATCAGAGTCTCTATCTTTTATCCCAAAACAGCTGTGCTATTGCATCAGACATAGACTTCTTAGCCCATAGCTTAGTGGTTCCAGCCATTGATGGCTGCCAGACCAGATCTCATTGTGTAAGGACCCTTTGGATACACCTGTGGCATTTCTCAGCCACTTCATATTCCAGTCACTTATTGCTAAGACCTCATATGGAGTGTTGGTGGTTGTATTCCAAGATGAGTTTGTACCAGCATGACCTAAAATGATCCTGACTGGGAATGTTTTATGTGAACCTTTGACCCCTGAAAGTGATAAACTTACTTGCCCATTGATAGAAAAAGTTACATTTGGGGTAGCTATTTGAAATCTTTTCACAAAAAGAGGATGTTTCCCAGTTAGTACAAATAAATTCAGAGTCTCACTCCTCTGAACTTGAGTACCACCGTCTCTGTCTACAGCAACACCTATGATAAACAGGAAGAGGTAGACAAAGTTTAGATCTCTCTAGGGTCCTCCATATGAACCCTCCCTGCAGGTCTCAGCAGCATCTAAAGGAAGAGAGTTACCCTAAGCCCATTCAAGGAGGCCCTGAAGAGTTTGAGACTTGTTTTGGAAAATTCAGTTTAAGGTAAGGGAATGATCTCCCCGTGTCCTGTGTTTAATCTCCTCGGTCCTACAAGGTCTACCTGAGAAACACCAACCTCTGCATATAGTCAAGGGGAGCCAAAGGGCAGCAATTCCTTTAGTGCATATCCTAAGGTGTCATGGCAGCTGCTTGGAGCTGGCCTGGAATTAGGGTGCCAACTCAAGTGCAGCTCAAGTCCCCAGCTGTGCTACTGGGAAGCTGGGTGACCTTTAGAAAACCAATCTTCCTGGATTCAGTTTTCTTATCTGCAAAAAGAGAGAATTAAATCAGACCCTATCTAAGATCCACTCAGCCCTAATGTAAAATGGCAGCAACAGGGTCCTGACTATGTCTGACCTCAGATTTGAGACACCTCTCAAGTCAGTACCTGTCCTTTCTGGGACCTGGAGGATAAAAATTAAGGAGAACTAATTGAATCTGAATGGGAGAACAAAGACAGAGGCTGAAAGGATAGAATGTTCCTCATTCAAAAAAAAAAAAAAAGTCACACATATTTCACTTATTCACAAAATGTGATGAAGCAATAAAACATAATCCACCATGATTAATGACAGAATATATTGGAAAAAGCTCTACAACTTTGGGGTAGTAGAAATAGCACTAGGCTCAGAGTCTTAAGACCTGAATTTGAATTCTAACACTTGCCCTCACTTGCTGTGTTCTATAGAGCATGTTTCTAGGCTCCACCATATTGAAAGTGCCCTTTGCTAATCTATTAAGCCTCTCTGGGCCTCAGTTGTCCTTATCCACAAAGTAGGAACAGCTGCACTTTGGTGTATCCAATGATTCTGGAAGCTTCAGCTTCATGCAGTGCCGACTGCATCTTAGAGTCCCAGGCTACTCAGTTTAAGGTGAGTGGCATGTCCCAGACACAAGCTGAAAACTGGAAGTGTGCCGAAGGCCACAGACTGGAAGTGGGGAGGGCCAGCGTGTGGGCCCGATTTTGCTGCCCTAAATTAGAGCTTCAGCTTCACCTTCCATATGGAAGTTGACTGGATTGATTTGTCATGTTCAGCTCTGCCCTTTGGGGGGTCTTCACTGTTCCGTTTGAAGAAGTGAATGTGCCTCACTCAATGTATGGTCTTTTTTCCTGTCCCTCTGAAGCTCGGACCTCCTCACTGTGCCTCACAACTTCATTAGGGGACAAGTCAGGCCTGCAGTGTGTGCAAGCTTCAGTCGGCGGCTCACTGAAGCTGAGACAGAAGATTTGCAAAGGAAAGAGATTGAAGCTCGTGAATAAGAAAGAGCATTACCAGGGAGGTTCATTTCTCTATTTCAATCCTGTCCCCGATTACAAAAAAAGACAGAAAATGAGTTATGTTCTCAGTGGCCGTTCATGTGGGGCGTAAAGGAAAAGGAAGGAAAGAAATATCCTAATTTTTATAATCTTGCTTTTTGACTCCCCCATTTTTAGCTCAGGGTGTTAGTCAAAATCCTTTCCTTCCTCTTCCTCTACGTCAGGGAAATGCTATAAATGAGCTGGAAACTCCTCTGCTTGTTCTCTCTCTGCTGTTCCCTTGTGGACCTTAGAGTTACTAGCCCTCCCCTCCACCCCAGGAATGTTCCTGACTTCTAAATCTGCAACATCAGAAGGAGAGGAAGGAAAGCCCTGGTCTTAGGGCACCTATGACACAATGAGCTGACAGTCTGTGTAGCCACTCTGGCTCGGACACAGCCTTTTTCTTTCCCTCTTCCTCTCAGCCTCCACGGTATCTCTGAGTCCCCATCTGGACAAGCAGTCAGGCCGCATCCTGTCCGTCGCTACCATCCAGGACTCCAGAGGAAAATACAGCTCTCAGCCTGAGTTAGCGGGGGCTGTGAAGGCTTTGCCCTGAGAGAACCCTTGGGTACAGTGCCTGACCTATTTTACTATGGAGAAAAATGACTTTGCCTTGGACCACCTGTCTACATCCCTCACAACTCCCATGTGTTACCTGGGTGTCCCCTGTTTTCAGTCCTCTAGCAGGCAACCTTTCATTTTGTCACTGAGAATATTTTCAAAACTTGCTCTTCTATCAGAAGCACTAACTACTGGGCAGAGCGAGCAACCCTTGTACTATCGATGGACAAGGTGATGGGCCACACCAGGGTGGAGTGTGATTATATTTTCACAACCGTATTTTACGTTCACAGCATATGGATTGCAAAACATGGGTGCATAGAGGGTGCTTCGTTATCCTGGGCTGTGCGACAAGATTGCTAGTGGGAGTGGGTTTGGGAGAGATGGGCAGGGCCTTCCAGGTACGTGTTGGGATCATTAGTGGAGGGTAAATGAGGCTAACTGAATAGCCAGCATCTCAAAGCAAGACTGAAAGGCCATGCAGGTGGTGACTCTCCAGTTCCAGTAAACGAGCTCCTCCCACCTGAGGTGGAGGGGCAGGGAAGACCTGCTTTGGTTCCTTCCTGGCCCTGCAGTGGCTGCCTGTGAATGAAGAATGGCTGTTACAGCTGACAGAGCTCCTTAGACTTCTCAGAACTCAAGGACACAGGTTTCCAGTATCGTAAAGGCTTATGCCAGATGTGCCAACCAGTGCATGCATCTATTTGCACTGTTCTCTGCA